ATTAGTGAATAGACCAGATTAGAAATAACATGGGATTAAATAATACTTAGTTTTGTGGTTACATGTAAATACATTTAAAATTTGATCACTCTTAATATCCTTGTGATATTTGTTAGTTGCTGGGGTTTTTTTTAATGTTTTGGTATGTTTTGCCGTTTTCTAGCAGAGCTCTTAAGTAGAAAGCAGAATCATCTCTTAAACCTGTTTTGTCCCAAAGTTCACTACTTCGGTCATTCATGCTAGATCAAGAAGATGATTAGTGGGTAAAATCAATTTGCGTGGTTTTATATTAAAATAGTTTTGACTTGGGACCAGCAGATGGTGTAATGGTTATGTTGCTGGACTCCCACATCATTGACCACGGTTCAAGTCCCGGACCTGGCAGCTAAAGACTCATGCCGGGCATCTGTGCGTGTGTGCCCCAAATCCCAAGATTGCAGCATGGCCATCCCTCTGGGGCAGTGATTTCTCACTTTCTGTTTGTCTCTCTAGTGAGCACAAGTACACTATAGCAAAAAATCTCTCTTCAAAAATAAATAAATAAATTATTTTGACTTTAAGAAAAAACTGAAGTTATAGTTACTATTTTGTCTGCTAATAAATGTGAGATGGAAAATAAACATTTTTATCTTCAATAAAGAATACATTTCTTCAGAATGTGCCGGGCTTTTAAAAATAATTGTACAGGGCTAGTCCTGTAGCCTGGTCATTAAGGGAGTCAGCTCTCACATGGCCAACCGTGGTTCGAATCCCAACCCTGCAGTTCGAATCCCAGCTCTTGGCACATGTGCCTGAAATCCTGATAGGAAGGAGAAATGGAGGAGACAAGATTATGGCATGACCACATGCCACTGATTGGTGCTTTCTCCCTTTTCCTGTTTCTGTCTTTGGCCAGTGCACATGCCTTCTGGCAATGAAAAAACATACATATTTATTCAGTCATTTTAATAGGAAAAGTAGAGGGAAAACAACACATTTGAAGTCTGTTATCTCCCTTAAAACTATAGTGAGAAATGGAAGAAATTTCTTAACTATCTGAGATAATACTGGATCATCAGGAAAGTCATGACTCATTTTTACATAGAAAAACATAAATATAGCACAGCTTTCCAACAACCTAATGTTATTAGATTACTTTGAAGCTTAAGGTCCTAATCGGTATTCTATCAAAGCGCTGTAATTGCACAAAAAGAATTGGAAGCATAGCAAGAATGCCTTCTCGATTTTTAACCATTTCCTTGCAACAGGGATTGTCAAACTATAACCTTTGGGCCAAATTTGGCCCATCTTCTGTTTTTTATAAATACAGTTGTTTTTTGTTTTTGTTTTTATTTTTTTTTAAGAAAAATTTTTGCTACAGGGAACATGTGCTCACCAGAAAGACAGAGAGAGACAGAAAATGAGAAATCACTCCCCAGGGGGATGGCCATGCTGCAGTCTCTTCTCCTCCATTCTCCATTCTCCTCTCCGGATCTTGGGCATGCATGTGCCTGGTGTGAGTTTAAGCCGCTGGGTCCGGAACTACATGGGAGTCCAGCAACGTAACCATTATGCCATCTGCTGATCCCAATATAAATACAGTTTTAATGGATCACAGCCACACACATTTGTTTATTTACTGTCTCTGGCTGTTTTCTTGCTGTGACAACAGTGTCAAGTAATTTAAACCGTGTAGTCTGCAAAGCCTAAAACATTTACCCTCTGGCCCTTTATAGAAAATATTGGCCAACCCTTGCCTTAGAAGAATAAAGAATATTGCTCTACTGGGCACTATTGAGGAGATTTTTAATTGAACTTCTATGTTTTATAGAGTTACAGATTTGGGAAGGACCTTAGAAATCAATTCATTCACGACACACATAAGACACACCCTTTTTTAAAAATAGCTGGAAAAGTGAAGCCACCAGCTTAAGATCATAGTGGAGTCATGATAAAAGAATGTTAATCCTTGAAGGTTAAAAAAAAGAAAATAATCACTAGTGTGGAAAAAAGACATTATTGAAGAATACCTATCAAGATTTAGCATTACAACAATTTAATACAATGTATTTCTACATAAAAGGTATATAAAATCATTTTTTAAAAAAAGAATGTTAATCCTATAAAAAACTGAAAACTACAGTTTACTTAGGGCCAAATCTGCTGGTAGCATTAACTGACAATATCAACAAAAATAATAAATTCTTAGCAGATCCCTTTCTTACGTATATCCCATGTCTTAGAAAACACTGAACTCACCAGGAAGAAAAAACTCACAAATAAAGACAAGCACTAAACACAAATCGTTTACACCTTACAAGGGAACATTTTGAATGAACAAAAGTTAGTCATTTAAAAAACTTAGAACATACTAAGTCAGGTGGAAAGGAGGTATGTCGTTCTGCGTACGGGGGGAGACGGACTCCGTTTCGGTTGCTCCTGTACCCTCACTCCGCAGTCATTGCAGATTGCTTCCGTGATCCCCGCCAGCAGACAAGCTGTCAGTTCTGCAGAGGGTACCACTTGGGTATCCCCCAGTTTGGTTCATTCTGACACTATCTGCTTAGAGTTAGGATCAGCTCTCAGAGGTTGAAAGCTCAGCCCCCAAGATTCCCCATCCCCTTTTAGCCACAAGTCCCAGCTGTTTCTCTTATGCTTCTGACCCACTAGCTACACATCAGGGCTCTCGTGGCCCCTTCCCCTTCTAGGGTTCGATTGATTTGCTAAAGTAGCTCACAGAGACCAGGCAAACCCTCATATTTGCCAGTTTATTGGAACAGATATTACAAAGGATACAGATGAAAAGATGCATGGGGCAAAGTATGTGGAAAGGAACACAAACCTGCTATGCCTTCCCCGGGTGCACCACCCTCTAGGGATCTCCATGTGTCCCATGCCCCAGAAACTCTCTGAACCCTGTCCTTTTCAGGTCTTATGAAGGCTTTATTACATGGGCCTAATTGATCATATCATTGGCCAATGGGGATCGACAAAACCTTCAGCCCCTCTCCCCTTCCTAGAGGTTGAGAGTGGGCTCAAAATCCCTACCCTCTAATCCTATTTTGGTTTTCCCGGTGACCAGCCCCTTTCTGAAGCTGCCTAGTGGCTGCCAGAACATCAACCAGCTGGTTAGCATACAAATTCCAAGAATTTTAGGAGTTTTATGCCAAGAAATGGAATGAAGACCAAATATATGTATCATAATATGAGTTACATTTTTAAACTGCCCTCAAGCTAAACTGTGTTCATATCAAGAGTACTCTAGTAAACTCTGAATTAACACTGCATAGTTGAGCAGAAACTGCAGATGGAAACAAAGGAAATTAAAAATAGGGGGACCAGCAGTTAGCGTAATGGCTATGTTGCTGGACTCCCATGTAGTTGACTGTGGTTTGTGTCCCGGACCCAGTGGCTTAAAACTCACACCGGGCACGTGTGCGTGCGTGCCCAAGATCCCGAGAGGAGAATGGAGGAGAAGGATTGCGGCGTGGCCATCCCCCCTGGGGGGGTGATTTCTCGCTTTCTGTCTCCCTGTCTCTGTCTGGCGAGCACACGCACCCTATAGCAAAAAACATCTCAAAAAAAAAAAAAAAAAAGGTGTAGCTTCCAAAGGACATGAATAAAAGGGCATTAAGACTGTGGATGTACTTGCATTTATCTGCTTCCTCCATAATATATAGTGTCAAAGGCCTCAAAAATACTTAGCATGTTTCACAACCAGGCTTTTAATTCCCTTTTTTTTTTTTTGGTTTTAGGAATGTGGGAAGCAGGTGGGCTATGGATCAAGCCAAGTATAACCTAATCAATGAGTACTTTCTGGTGGGAGTTACTGAAGAGCTTGAAGATTTTATCATGTTATTGGAAGCAGCTTTGCCCCGGTTTTTCAGGGGTGCTACAGAACTCTATCGCACAGGTATATACACGACAGATTTCTTTTTGAAGCTGTCTTCACTTGCAACTTGAAAAATGTGTGACTTGAAGTTTTCTTTAGTAAAATACAATAAAGAGTTCCAGAAAGGCAGATATATTGTCTGGTTTTGCTTACCATTTATGCAAACAGTGCATGACACACAGAGAGTGTGTGTTAAATGGTTTTTGAGTGAATAAACGTGCATTAGGTGAGTATTGAAGGCGTCATAGGAATAGTGGAACAATACATACTGCAGAACCAGCCTTAAATGTCTGCAATACTCATTTCTGCTGGATACCAAACATTAGGGCAGTGTATGTATTCTACCTACCTACTGCCATTTTCAAGTGTGAGCAGGAAGGCAGGACTGAATTATACTAATAAGACCATCGTGTGCTCTGTCTGTTCTGGCATGCCTAAAAGTGTTCTTTGCAGCCCCAACAATATTACATATTTGAAAGTGATCATGCTGTTCCAATCTGTCTGATTCCGATTTTTTTTTTGGCTGTTGTTTGATAGGATGCGATCATAACTATTTTAAGAATATGCATATGCCCTAGCTTCTAACACATAATTATAGAGAATATAGGTTATAAGAAATTAGAATTTAGTTTGGCAATATCATATTTTCTAAAATAAGCTAGTCTTAGACCACCAAACCCTTAGAACAGAGTGTGTGAGGTGACAGCCTATGCTTCACTGAGTGGCATTCTTACATTTCATATTTGACATCTTATTTAGCCTTTAACAGGTTCAGGTTTTACATTCTAAGTAGATCATAGTTCTAGTATGATTAGAGCTCTATTTTGCCTGAATTATATTAACAGAAGACAGTAATGTTACCTGTCCTTCAGTGTGTCCTATGAACTTCAACCATCTCCTCAGATAAGATAGCACTGATATTTTTGTGTGTTCTCTAAAAATTATTTACTTTTCCTTTTTTTCCTTTGTAAGTAGGAAAGAAATCTCATCTTAGGAAAACCACAGAGAAGAAACTCCCCACTAAACAAACCATTGCAAAACTACAGCAGTCTGATATTTGGAAAATGGAAAATGAGTTCTATGAATTTGCATTAGAGCAGTTCCAGTTCATCAGAGCCCATGCTGTTCGAGAAAAAGATGGAGATCTCTACATCCTCGCACAAAACTTTTTCTATGAAAAGATATACCCTAAGTCGAACTGAGTACACGTCGTGACTATCAGATTCTTGAACTAAAACTTGGACCCTGTCTTCACCTTCATTTTCAGCTCCACAACCTGGATTGCTGATAGGTGCATGGACAGTTTGTATTGAGCCGAGTTAGGAAACAGTAATGTCAAGGAAGTAGATACTGGCTGATATGCCAGTGTACTAAGATGTTTAAGTTTCAGGCTTTTTTTTTTCTTTTTTCCTCTGGTTAAATTTTGTTGAGAATTATAATCTCCTGCCTGGGGGATGGAAGGGGAAACCTGTATGTTACCGGAAATTAAACACAAGAATCGTCTAATCAAAAGGCTAAAATGCAATTTCAGAAAAGGTTCTGCTATTCTTGTTTTTGATAAAGCATTTTTTCAACTAACCATGAATGAAGATGAATCCATTTGCCACTTCCGCCTTCACTGGAGGTTTGGGTTATACACCTCTACTGAATAGTGTTAATAACTGTTTGGCAGTGTGTGCTTTGTTTTGTGAATCATGTCTCATGAAATTTATTGGGATGTTTGGTCATGTTTGCTAAGAAATATTCTGCTGTACTTGGGTTTGCCCTTATTTATGTAGGTGGATTTCATTTTTAAAAATGATTATTAGTGTTAAATTTAAGTCATGAGTAACAACTGTAAAAAGATAGAGTCAAGGCAGTATTTCTCATTCCTGTCTCCCTAGTATCTAATGCTGGGAAGATATGTCAAAGAATAATGACTTTGAAGTTTTAGTTAAGACTTCCAAACAGTAATCTCAAAAAAAGTATGTTTAGTATTTGTTTCTCCATGGATTATTTGTAAAGCTGTAAACTGAGATATCGGTGACTCCATATTATGACTCCAATAGTGAGCTGTGGTATGGGTAAGATTTTCCTATGTCTTATGTACTTTTACCTGTAGACTATTTTTACTAAGGTGCTTTATAATGTGTTTTAAAGCATTGCATTTACAAAAAAGAAAAAAAAAGTAAAATGCTGTAAATATCGCATATTTTATGTATTTGGACCAAAAGGTTATGGGTAATTAGACAAAGTGGTTTTGCACCAATTTTATTATGTCTGGTAAAACCATCAGACCTACTGTTACTGCATTTCTCGTTTAACATCACTTTTAAGATATCATGGAAATGAATTTCAATAACTTTTCGATTTTGATACACACTACATTCTTCATAACTGGAGGCAGTAGTTCGAGTGGGAAGAGTACTGGCCAAGGAGTCAAAACTCTTGATTTCTGGTCTTCGCTCTGCCGCTTACCAGCTGTGTGATCTTGGGCAAGTCACTTAACCTCTCTTTGCCTCAATCTCCTCATCCTGGAATGAGGATAATAATACCTGCTGTACCTACCTCACAGGGCTGTTGTGAGGGTTAAATGAGATGGCATGTGGAAGCACTTTGAAAACGGTTAATGCGCTATATAAATGTAAGGTATTATGGAAACATCTTTAACATATAGTTTCATATCATTCTTTTTTTAACAAAGAAAGGGAAAAGCCCACTTATAAGCTGGTTGGAAAAAAAAAGTTAATCTTGATATAAATTTTTGTTTGATAAATATCTTCTCAGTGTTTTATCTTCCACGTTTCCACAACGATTGAAATATGAAGCACCTGTGAACTCTTAAAAGGTTCATGAGCAGCTGCTTGAGCTCAGGAGGTTCCCTGTTGGAAATAGGCTTCATTAGCTGACTAGGGGCAGAGAAACTGTGCTTCAGATTTGAAAAACTTTTTTTATTTTACAGTACTGTTCAGAAATGGTTGCTATTTTATATGTATGTTTTTTAAGATATGTTTTGCAGAATTTAATTTCCCTGTGCATTCTTCTCCCTCCTGCAGCAACTGAGATAAAGAATTTTAGAAACATTTTCTAGAAGAGTAATCTTTAATATGTTTAATTTAATTAAGTGTTTCTGAGTAAGGCTTTATCAAACTATAAGTGTTTTAGGCAGATTGCTTTAAAAGGTTATTCGTAGGAGGAGAGGTGAGAACGCTATCAGAAAACATTTGTGAACAAACCCAAGAACTAAAGGAATGACAAAAGGAGTCACCTTAGTACCCATTTTCCCTAATAATATGAAAATATTAAGGAAATATAGGCAGAGATACTGTTTTTAAAAATAACTTTTACAGGTATTTGCTGAAAATATATACAAATTATTTCTTGGCCCAAAAGTGAAGTAGTACTTTGGGTTGAGATGTTCTGACATTTACCTGTGAAAAGACCCCACTGTGCAGGTTATTCTTAGAGTTCATGTTCTTTTAGGGTAACTAGAGTAGCACTCAGTGCACTAGATCAGAGGGGTTGTAAACATTTTTCGTAAAGGGTTAGAAGTAAATAGATATTGGGAGCCATGGTCTCTGTCACAGCTATTCAGTTCTGCCATTGTAGCACAAGGGCAGCCATTCATAAATGAATGAGCATGATTGTGTTCCAATAAAACTTTATTCACAAGAACAGATAGCATGCCAGATATGGACCATGGACTACCAAACACCTGCACTAGAAAATCATTATTTGTGGCGAAATCCTTTTTGTATTTGTACTCTAGTAGTATAAAAGAGTTTATATACTTCTAAAAGCTCCTAATTTATACCCAAAGAATAGCTTTCTGATTCATAGTCTCTCCCACAGATTCATAACTTTTATGACTTATATTGCTTCCAGGTGGTCATATTTTCTTTCCCAGTTTAACAGTTTAGAATTGGGAAATTTATTTTTTCATCTCTTAAGGTGGGGTAGGAGTGTCCTTTCTGGAGAAAGGGGTGAGTTTAAATCCATCTGGTCCAGTGCAGCCCTAGGAGTCTGAATCCTTGTAAGACCTAACTTTATATAATCAATGAAATAACTAGAACCACTGAGACAATAATGTATTTTTTTAAAGTGGCAAATGTGGTTTTCTTTTTTGCAGCCTTGGCGCTTTTTCAGTATTTTGACCATAGGGAGATATTTTTTTTATAATACAAAAGTAAATTAACCACTTTGAATTTTAAAGATACTGTTAGGTGTGTGTTTTGTGTATATATAAATCTATCTATACCTGTTTGTTTCCTAAAAGAGGAAAAAGTACCTTTTTGTTCAACTCGTTATCAACTCCTGTTTTCTAATTGCTGTGAAATGGCAACTGTTGATAAATCATTGTGTTTGTTTTAAAGTGTAATGGGAGGATTTATTTTGATTTTACCCAGCTTTAATCTGTAAAGTATCACTTAAATATATCTGATAGCAACACTTAAAATATTGCATGGGGGTTATTTTTCTGTTATCAATATGCACTTGTGCAGCTTCCAACACATTGGGTGCTTCTGAATTCCTGAGGATTGGATACGAACTACTGAAAATCAGAGAACTTAAATTTACTTTTTAATTTTAAATTTTATTTTCTATTCTTAAAATTCAGTGAATGACTATAGTTTGAAATCTACTGTTGCTCTTTCTCAATATACTATATGTCTTATTGGAAATTCTTACGGTTGTTAGTGCCATCCGTGGTTTACAAGCAGTATTTTGATATTGCAGATGATTTGCTCATTGTATTTGCATAGTTAGAAAATAGTTTGTAGACAACAATTCTCTTTTTTAATAAAATAAAATAAAATTCTAAAAGCATTAGAGGTAAAGGCTGGCTCCCAGGCGTATAGCTGGTATTTTCATTTATATTCAGATTCTCTGTGGAGGACATCTGTGTTCATCTAGCTGGATTTTCCCATTGGTCATTCCCAAACACACCTATGATCTAGAATCCTTCCGAGAGGCACCTGGTATGGAAACCGTTATAAATTGGCCTTTAAGAGGCACAGGTGCTTCTGCTTTGTGATTTCTAAGTTTGCCTCTTCATACATTAGTGACATTGACTTTGCTAGGAAGCACGACAGTTCCATTTTGCATATGCAAAAGTTGCTGTAGCCTGCCGACTAACCTGCTTTGCAGGCAGCCTTCTGAGGGGAAAAGCAAGCCTATTTCAAATGCACTGCCAGTTCAGCTCCTCTCGAATGGAGCTAGTGTTCAGATTTCCTGGAGCAGAAATTTTAGAGATTGAAGTGAGTAGTCAGATTTGTCCTATAAGTTCGTGCAGCTTGGTGACTTCTGTGATACTGTTTATAGAACGAACCCTGGTGATGATCCCTTTAGAACACATTACTGGTAAGGCTGTCTGTGAGTGCATTACCTTGGTGCTGCCTATCTGACCTTTTTAGATGGTTTTTGTAGCTTCCTATTGAGACTCAAGTATGTGAGCATCTCTAAAGCAGTATTGAATGAATGTAATTTTGAGAAACACGGACTCTTGTTTTGGTTTTTATTTTGTAAATATGTAGACAGCTAAACAGTGCCTTTTCCCCCCTCACCATCCTGTTGGAAGATGCTCACTGCTTTCTCTGTCTCTCTTCTCTCTCTTCTCTTTTACTGCCTCCCACCGCATTCAGTTGATTCATTTATCCAATGCTGTTTCCAACTTGAAACCATTTTGTCACATTGCTTGGAGAGAGAATCATTCCATTTCCTTCGCATTCTGCCTGCTTTCTCCCGTTGAAGTGTTTCCGTTGACTACCTGATGCAAAAGCTGTAAAATAAACATTCAGTGGGAAGGGGAACAGTGGTTTGTTGTCCTGTTTCAATGTGTTCTTCTGTAGCCTCGACACTGATGGACATATTTGAACGGATCCAGCGTTCAACCTTACCAACTTAACTCCTAGATATTGTTGGCACGCGAACAGCATGCGTCATCATTGGTTTGTAATGATTTTATGGCTTGTGACAATATTTTACCCAGAATAATACGTCTCCGTTGCTTTTGCTTTGTACTTCTCATTGGTAGTGAAATTTCATATAGTAAATTTCCAGGATATACTTACCATATACACTTAATTAGAAAAATATGGAAATGGTTAATGGAATAAAAAAGGAAATGTGAAAGAAAAAAGTTCATTCGAATTAACATTTATTACACAGTCTGGACATGTCCATATTGTTTCTTTGAGAAAACACGTTTCTACTTCTTGTGGTTTGTTTTGTTATTTTGTTTGTTTGTTTTTTGTTTTTTTTTTTTAAATCTCAATTACAAAGATTGTCAGTTCTCAGCTACTGATTCAGTTGTTTTGAGCAATGCTTGATTGATTCTTTTTGTATTCTAAAATACAAGTTTGTTGATGAGTTTTCTAACCGGTGAATTTGGTCTATAGCCACAGAGGCAGATGCAGAGCCTGATTTTAAAGTCAGGCGAACCTGTAGTTAGCAGTGTGACATTAGTAAGGGAGGAAATAGGATTGTTGTGAAGATTGGACATGATAGTTATGAAGTGTAGACAAAGGCTAGACTAGTAACCGAGTTGTGGGTAATATATTCAGCACTTAAGCCAAGCTCTGTGGGGAAACAACAGGAAAATGTAAAAGGATTTTTATTTATTTCATTCCACAAGAAAGGATAAAGTCCCTTGAATAAGTTATTTCTGGTTTGAAAACAATTGAGGATTTATGAAAAGACAGTCCCTAAGAACTGGCTGATTGTCATTCTTTTCTCCCAACTTTTGGCCCTTTATTTACTCAAAGCCAGATGACCAAGTTCATGAGGTCACCACCCTCTTTTTTGAAAAATGTTTGATAATCTTTGCTTTGTACCTTGAAAACGGAAGTCTTAAGCTTCATTTGCTATTTCATATGCCTGGAATATTCACGACTTGCCTCCTCCCTTTTCCTACACCCCTTCAATGTACGTCTTAATTCTGAATGTTCTCATGGCTGGGTAACTAGGAAACCATCGCCTCCTTTATTTTATTTTAATTGGCAGAGGCAACATGAATTCACCGAGACGGACATACAGAGAGGGAGAGTGCACCCCTCAGTTGAGCATGGTCAATCTTCATTCCTCCACCATTTCTTCTTACTGTCAAGATTACACCTATGTCTTTTTCAGGCCACTAGGGCAAACGGTGGTGGGTGTATGGGATCTGGCTCCCTTAACCATTAGGAGGTTGTGAGGCTGGCCCCTGGAACTCAGTTTTTTGAAAGTGCAATGATGGGGCCAGCAGGTGGCATGGTTATTGGGGTGCTGGACTCCCACATGGCTGACCATGGTTCAAGTCCTGGACCTAGTGGCTTGCTTTCTCACTTTCTCTCTCTCTCTGGTCAAATTTAAAAATAATAAATTAATGATTATTTTTAAAAAAGAAAGTGCAATCAGAGGGTCTAGAGAGCCTGCTCAAGGTGTGGTGGCTAAGGGGACTGGATCACACATGGCCAACTGTGTAGTTCGAGTCCCAGACCAGACCCACACTGTGTGTGTGGTAAATCCTGACAGAAGAATGGAGGAGAAAGGATTGTTATGTGGCCTTTTCCCTCTGGAGCAAGGGTGCATTCTCAGAATCCCTCTGTCTCTCCATCTCTCCTGAATGCATATACACTCTAGCAAAATTTATTTAAAAAAATGAATAGATTAGTTTTGAAAGAGACAGTTTAGTAGGATAGTTAGAATATGGCCACTTGAGCATCATTTACTAACTGATCTTGAACAGATTAACTCCCTTAAGACTGAACTTCCTTTACAGTAATGTAGAAATAATAACAAGATCAACAGTTTGAGAATTAGGTGAGTTAGTGTACATGTGAAATTTACATAGTGCTTACTTCCATCCCATAGGAAGCACTAGAGAAGTGCTAACATCATCTTCTAGTTAAGTCTGAAAGAAGAGATGAGGAATGATCTACTTGGACACATGGAAGTATATATCCACTCAATCATTAACATGTGCAGGTTTGAAAAATGCGAAAGATGAACAAAAGAGACATAGCTTCTGTGGGCTGACTCTATAGCCTAATAGTTAAGGGAGCCAGATTCCACAAGGCCAACTGAGGTTCAAATCCCAGCCCTTCGGATTAAGAGGGAGAGACATGGCCTTCATTTGTTAAAAAAAGACACATGAAGAAGAAACAAAATAGTATGCAAAAATCCCTTATTTTGTTGATAGACTGTCTTCCTTTGTTGTGGTGGTTATTTAAGATTCATAAAACCCTCTGGACCTTTTATTTTAACACATTTTACTTAATTTCTTAATTGTAATATGCAAATAGAAATGCCACCCTCTCCCAGATGGTCAAATTCTGTACATCTAGTACCCATTGATTTGGTCTAAAAGGTAAACTTCCATCTTCATTATATAATAGGTTTTATTTCATGATAGATGAATCTCTCGCTTTTTGAGACACCTAATTAGGTTCATAGATTTAAAAGATACGGTTTTATTGTGATTGGGACTGTTGATACTCAGATATTTTTAATTCTATTTTGATTCCAAAGTCATTTAAACAATAAATGCAATTAAAGAAATACACTTTTTCCAGTCTTTTTTAATGAGGGTATGTGCGGGGAGACAGGGAGAAAGAGAAAGAAAGCATCCAGTGGAGTGTGGTTACACTACAATCCCTTCTCCATTTCTCCATCCTGCCAGAATTTCAGGCACACACTCACATGGACTTGGCATTTTTTTTTTTTTTTTGGAGAGGTTTTTGCTATAGGGCGTGTGCGCTCACCAGACAGGCAGAGACAGAGAGACAGAAAGCGAGAAATCACCCCCCAGGGGGGATGGCCACACTGCAATCCCTTCTCCATTCTCCTCTCAGGATCTTGGGCACGCACGCACACGCGCCTGGCGTGAGTTTAAGCCACCAGGTCCGGGACTCGAACCGTGGTTGAGTACGTGGGAGTCCAGTGACATGGCCATTACGCCAACTGCTGGTCCCTTGGCATGTTTTTCAAACCACCAGGGCTGGGATCTGAATAGTGCAATTAGCCATGTAGGATCTGGTTCCCTCAACCTCCAGGCCATGGGGCTGGTTTCCAATCTTACAGCTGGATTGTGTCCTCAGAATTCGTTATAAACTGGTTATTTGGAATCCAGCAGAACTGATACTATATATATGTTCCCCATCCGCAGAAGTCAGTGCAGTTCTGGATTTATCTCTTTGCAAGAACAGAAGAACCCAGGGCTGTGTCCTTGTGAGTTTCTGCCATTTTCTCAAAGGAGCTTTTTCAGAATCTTGGATCCTTGGGTTTTAACTTGTGGGTGATGGAAGTTGTAAGCAGAGGACGAAGTGGTCATATGGAGTTTTCGAAACGTAATTGCAGCAGTGTACAGAATAGACTCAATCTGAAAGCTAACAACACGAAAACCTCCAAGGAAGTGACAGTTGTAGAGAGAAGTGGTGATAAGATTGGGGAGAAGCAGGGGCATCTCTGGGCCAGAAACCTCTAAGATTATGGAGGCAGTAGCTTGGGTTCGTAACATACTACAGGCGTACATGTTTCCAACTTCCCTTGATTTAAAAAGAAAAAACCATTATCGCAATTATGCAGTGTTGGAGTTCACTGTCTCCCTATCGAATGCTTGATTTTCTCACCTCCTTTACTCATTCATATCTTGACCTAGGTAAGGGTTAGCAAAGAACCCCACACATAGACCAAAACACTCAACTTCCCTAGTGTCTTTTGGTTTGATGATGAAGGGTTCTAGTGAAACACACTAGTCACCTTCAGCTTCTGCCTTACATCTGATTTCTCTAAAGTCATGCCTAGAAATGTTGCACATCATTTGCACTGAGAGCTTTTACAAGGAAATAAACATACAGTTGGATCAATTTTCATTTCAGGGTTTCAATCAAGGGTTCAAGCAACTGGATTACTAGAACTGTCAGCCTCTTTATCAGTGATGCAGGAAAAGAACACAATGAGCTAAAAGTAGTAACTGATACACCCCCCACCCCTGCCTTGCGCAGGTTTTGTTGCTAAATACCTTGCCCATGAAAAGGCAATGGAGGGACCAGCAGGTGGTGTAAAGGTTACTGGGCCCTCACATAGTCGACCACAGTTCTAGTCTCAGATGTGGCAGCTTGAACTCACGTTGGGCATGTGTGCGTGCGTGCAAGGTCTTGAGAGAACGGAGAAGGGACCGCAGTGTGGCCATCCCCCCTGGGGGGTGATTTCTGGCTTTCTGTCCCTCCGTCTCTCTCTCTGTCTGCCTTTCCAGTGAGCATACACGCCCTATAATAAAAACCTTCCCCAAAAAACAAAACAATGGAGTAAGTATTTTGAACTGTAAGGGCGTTAAGACATTTTTGTCCCTGAGCAGCAGATCCAAGAATGATTATCTTGGAATTCTAGAATCATTCTTTTCACTTATTCTCCCTCTCTCCATTTCTTTTTCACAATTTAAATTACTTGATCTCTTAATAGAAACTTGGATTTAAGAAAAAAAAAAAGGTAAGTTAAATTCCAATTTATGATTTTTTTGGTGTGTGTGTGTGTTTCACTATGGGGTACATGCACTTGCCGGACACAGAAAGTGAGAAACAACCCCTGCCCCACCCCCACCTCCAGCCAGGGTGGTGGCCACACCCCAGTCTCTTCTCCATTCTCCTCTCAGGATTTCGGACACGCATGCGCATGCACCCAGTGTGATTTTTTTTCAAGCCACTGAGTTCAGGCTCTAACTGCACTCTTCGGCCATGTGGAATCTAGCACCTTAACCACCAAACCACCAGCTGGCCTGACAATTTGTGATTTTTTAAAAAGGATACTTTCCTAAGGTGCCATATGAAAGCTGTCACCTACATCTAACTGTTAAAGTCTGGCAAAGAGATGACCTACTGTCCCCAAGTGACCTGGCTTCTGGACTTCTTTGATTTGCTTTCCCAAATGTGGACCAATTTGACCTAAATCTGGGTATATCATGTAACAGCCGTCGAGATTTATTTTAAGTGCTTAGGGCAATGACATTTAATTTGTTATCTGTTTCATTGATTCTGGTGCCGGCTCAGTAACAGAGCTAGGTTGGGCTGTAAAAAAACTGTGTCAAGAGTTTTGAGTCTTTTCCATGTTTTTAAGCATCTCTCAGAACCGACAAGCTGGAATTCACCTTTTCTGGGTAACTGA